TCCTGTTGAAGGTTGGAAATCCGATGATTTGATTTCTTATATTCGTGATTGTCTTCAGTATATGGCAACAGCCATGGAACGTGATCTTCAGCAGACTACACCTCAAAATTAATTTATAATTTGAAGTTTATGTCGAAGGATATATCCCTGTCGAACTAAGCAATGATGTGATGTACAGTAGTTCATCTGTGTTTAAATAAGTTACTAGTTGAACTCATTAATTTACTAAAAAAAATATTAATAAATTAGTATTTTATTACATTTATTATTTAATTCAATTAATAAATTAATATTTTATTAACTAAACCTTTAAAGTCCAAAAATTTTTTGAATAAAAATCGAATAAAATAAATATAATAACTAAAAAATAAAAATTTTAATTTAAAATAAATATATAACTTTTTTTTTTGAAAAAAAAAAAAATCTGATTACAATATCAGAATATTAAATATGAATCATAACCGGAGTACTTCATGATTTATTTCATATATTCCACGATTTAAATATTAAAATAAATAGATATTAGAATTACTAAATCTAATTAAAAGTCTTTAAAAAAGAAAAAGAGAAACCCAATGGAAAATATATTTTCACTACACCGGTTAACAAGTTCCCAACAAGAGAGCCACCCCCCCCCAATACATACATTTGGTAGTTAAACTCTATATGTATGTGCTTTTTACTTTCCTATCTATCCCCAAACCTTTAAAAACCTCGAATTACTTCCAAGGTAAATTAACATAAAGGATCTATAAGAGGCTGCCCACTATTCCACTTCCAGTACCTAATCTTTTCTCCATCCAATCAATTATATCCTGTGCAACCTCCGCGCGCTCAGGCTCAAAAAGAAGGTCATGTAAGAAGCCATCGTAGAGCTTTATGTCTTTGAACTTAGAGGCTGCCTCGTTATATAGATCCTGGGATGCTAATGGATCAGTTACTCTATCTGCAGTTCCATGAAGAACGAAGAATGGGACAGTAATAGACTTGAATTTCCGCATTAAGTAAGAGGAAATCCGTAGTATCTCATGACCTGTTCGAACTCTAATGGGGCCTGTATAAACCAATGGATCAGAGTACTTTGCCAAAAGTGCTGCAGGATCCCTTGAAACTGGAATGCCCCGTTTGTTTGCACCTTTAAACTGGAATCTTGGAACAACCAAAGAAAAAATAGGAGCAACGGCCTACACATAGATATCAGAGACAGTTTTTAATGCATGGGAACGAGGTTGCAATTCCCAAATCTATTATCATTGTTTCGGATAATTTCAAGTGAGGTTATGCAATATTATATCAGGTTTCTGTCCACTATGAGATAAGGAAAAGACCATTTATCCATAAAAATTTCCTGGGAGCTTCAACATAATCCAATCCCTCTTGGACACGCACAGAGGATAAACTAACTAGATCAACTCCATAAAATAAGTAACTAGCACTAAATAATGAGGACTTGAAGTCTCACGAAAAATCAGCCAACTTAGAAGCTTCAGTTCTGCAAATCATTTTGTAAAACTTGCAGTGCAGTCGATAAGACTGCAAAATTACTTGAATCTACATTGTCAGTGCATCAACATGCTCTTTAATGTTTAAATTCAACAATGCAACTAGATTTGCATATCTGGAATAGACACTTGACCTTACTCTTTTTATAGATAAAACACTTGACCACTAGTCCAGACACTCAGCACATACATCTATTTTAGACATTTTTACACTTGTATCTTGTGTGTAATTCCTTAAAACCAAAAAGTTCACTTACCCCAACAATGGGATGTGCTGGCTTAACTCGCAAAGCTGGTGAGGTAAGTATGATTCCTTCCAACATTTCTTCAATATGAGGATATGAAGCTGCCTGTTGAACAGTAGACAGTATTATTGCAAACACTTCTTGGAATTCTCGAACTTAGCAACTTTAAAAATTAAATCTAGCATTACCTTCAAAACCACAGCTCCACCAGTAGAGTGACCAAAGAGAAAGCATGGTACACCAGGGTTTTCTGATTTGATTTTTTCCAAGAAAGCCCCCTGTTAAATTAGATACAGAGAATTCATATGATCACTTGACTTCGAACATGGATTAAGGACAGAAAAACTAATGCAACAAGATCATGAAACTTAGTAACTAAGCCCAGAATTACAATATCATTTATTTTAACTGTGAGAGGATGTGGAGCAAGAGGCGGAGCCTTAATAAGGTTCAAGATTAATGGCTTGAGAGAAATCCTAAAGGATTCTTGCTATCAAAATAATCAGAAGCTAACATTCACCACATGTAGCCAGGTGATGTAGCATTCATCTAGAAAGACTGAAGTAATGACAAAGAGGTAATGTGTTCTGTATAAGACACAATTAAGACGTAAAGCACAAATAACAAAAACCAAACGTACAGTATCTGCAACAACATAATCAAGGGAAGGAACATATCCATGCAATCCATCACTCCCACCATGGCCTACAGATAGGAAATAGCCAATAATTTAATTGGAAACCTTGGAAATAGAAAATAATATAGTCAAATAAACAAATAGACTCTGAATGTATTTACCAATCCAGTCCATCGCATATACCCCGTAATTGCATGAGGTTAGCTGCCTTGCAAAATGAGCATATCTCCCACTGGAATGATCAACAGAAAGACAACAAACCTTTTGTCACTAAACCAAGTCAAAATATAGCCTTGCTAGCGTTATAATTATTGCTTTCAAACTCATGAACCCAATTTATTCATCCTACGGCTATGAACATAAGGTTCGCAGCAATAGAGGCAAAATCATTTTGAAAATACCTGTGCTCATTGAGCCCATGTATAATGATCAAAATACCCCTGAAACAACGAAGTTGCATCAGTTAGAATAAGCCATGCGAAGTGCAGAAAAGAGGTTGACATGTACATGATAAAGATCTTCGGGTAGAAGAAAATTCAAACATACAGCAAGAGAGCACCTTACTTCGTCTAGTAGTGTAAAGAATTCCTTGTGTGTTATAATTGGATTGGAAGTAGACATACACACACAGTATATATGTGCATACACATATTTCACGATATGTATGTGTGTATATTTACGATTCCAGAAGGCAACAGCTAAAGAAATCGAAGGATATGTGACACATCTTGAAGAAAACTGAAAAGAAAAGAAAGGGAAACAGCAGAACTACGAGAACAAGAACAAGTTACATGTATTGACGAATAGAATCAATAGCAACCAAGTACGATGCCCTCGGAATTAGCGATTAAGCAGAAAACAGACAGATCAACTATTATCGAACTAAAATCTCTAGTTTCTTAAACTCATGTTAGGAAGTTTCAAGTTCTCTCACTCAAATCAATAACAAAATACACAACCATTTCAGTTAGCTCACTACGCGAGTTCTGATATTGAAAATTCAGAACAAAACAAAAGTTGACGTATTGATTTATTGAAACAGAAACCATTAAATCAAACAGTAACCTCAAAAGGAAGAAGATACCGAGCTTAATTTCCCGTTCTACCAAAAACCCTGACTAACCAAACCGACTATATCCTGAACCAGAACACGAAGGATGGGGATGAGGGGAAAGTTGCTACCTCAATTCACCGGTAATCGGGAACCAAGACCGGCAAAAGAGAGCGTTGCTGCGAACCCCAAAAAACAAAGAGGAATTCCAGTGGCACCGGACCTCCCCATCTCCGGTCACGAAGCCCATGTCCAGACCTTCAGCCAAGGCTCTTCTCCTTATTGTATCTTCTTCCTCTCGCCTCCAAACTGACTTCCGCCGGGAACTCTTCGCCGGACTCTGCGGGTCCCCAGAACTGGCCGTGGATTGCGGGCAAGAGTGCCGGCGGCGCGGTAGGAAAAGCAGAAGTACATAGAAAATCAGCGTCTGCAAGTAAATGAGAGATGTCCGTAGGGTTTTCAAAATCGGAATTATACGATTGCTCGCTCCTGATGTCAGTGGTTCAATCTCCATCGATGATGCCATGGCGATGCCAGAAAATTCAAGGAAATGAATGTTTAAATTAGAAAAGGAAAAAATCAAAACGACACCGCGATAGAATCAAGAGATAATAAAACGCGTATAGAAATGAGGGGAAAGATTTCGGGTGAATGAGAAGGGTATTTATAGCATGACCGTTTCAACGTGTAAGGGGAACGGCCGAGGGATATGATTATTAGCTGTAACGACCCAGGTGGAGGTTAACAACCCCCACTGATGACGTGGAGTAATATGATTGGCAGAGAACTAAAGGTGGTTGATAGGTGGTTGAGATGGACGGCGGTGATTGAATGTTTGAAGGCGCGTTATTTGGTGGAGGGTGGAGAAGATTAAATGAATGAATATTTTATTTTTATCTGCGTGCTTAGTAGGTTCCGGGAGTAAACTAATGGATGGCGTCAGAGAAATCTGACTTTATTGCTCTCTCGGCTCTGATCAGCTCATATCGACTCATCTCGGCTCATATCGGCTCACTGAAATCGTGTAGTATGTAATGCGCTTGAAGTTAAACGGCTTTGCTTTTTGATCCATCATTTATATATATTTATGTATATTGGCAAAAATAATAATTTGTCTTTGTAATTTTAATTTTTGTTTCAATTAATAGTTACATTTTGTATTTTTTAAATTTTTATAATTTAATTCGTCTCTTTAAC